CAAGCACAAAAAGCCCCAAACATGTTGGTTTAAGTAGTATCTTGGAGGAGTAAGGAAGAAACCCACACTTCCAGAGTAAGGTAAGAATAAACATTCTGAGAATAAACCTCCACTCCAAAACAGCATCATCCAAAGATTTTTATAAACTACTTATGCCAACACATCAAACTACATAGTCTAATAAAAAAGATAGGTGTCTCAATGTATAATGCAGTTCTCAGGTTTTGTTTATATAACACCAACAGTGAACAGTTTTGAAATAGCACTTTACCAATCCAGTATCATCCCCACCTCACACACACATACCCCCCATTTTCTTCCCCATATACACAGATTTCTTTCTTTTGTTCAAGCATGCCACTGGACTATCAAATTCAGTTGGTGATCAACAATACTTCCTTCACATTGAGACAGCCTATCTGCCTCTCATATCACTTACGACTACGGTAGGATTCTATGATTTTAAAGGTATTTTCCAAACTAAATGATTTATGACCCACGTTCAACTAACTAAATTATTTTTCCCCAACTAAACATGTTTTATTGCATCTGGTATGTCAAATTCTTTAGATTGCTGTGCATGAAAGAGGAGAAAAAGGAACAAAACCAAAGGCTTCTAAGACCTACTGCACCATTTTTATATTGGGTTGTATGGGGTTTGTGTGGCAAGGTTTTGGTAGCAGGTGGTACCTGGGGGGCTTCTCTGAGAAGTCAAAAAGCCTTCCCTGTTTTTGGAAGGAAGGCAAGCCCCCCCCACCCCAAAACCCCCCCTGCCACTGGCCAAGGCCAAGTCTATCAGCAACAGTGGTAAAACCTCTGTGATAACATATTTAAGTGGGGAAGAAGTTATTGTGCAAATGAGGAGCGAGAACACATGAGGACCGAGAAAAACAACTCTGCAGACACCAAGGTCAGTGAAGGAAGAGGGGGACGAGGTGCTCTCCAGGTGCTGGAGCAGAGATTCCCTGCAGCCCCTGGTGAGGACGATGGCAAGGCAGGCAGTCCTGCAGCCCATGGAGGTTGACAGTGGAGCAGATATCCACCTGCAGCCCGTGGGAAACCCTGCACCAAAGCAGGTGGGTGTGCCCAAAGGAGGCTGTGACCCTGTGGGAAGTCCAGGCCAGAGCAGGCTCCTGGCAGGCCCTGTGGACCCATGGGGAGAGAGGAGCCCACACTGGAGCAAGTTTGCTGGCAGGACTTGTGACCCTGCAGGGGACCCACACTGGAGCAGTCTGCTCCTGAAGGACTGCACCCTGCAGAAGTGACCCCTGCTGGAGCAGTTTGAGAAGAACTGCAGCCCATGGGAAGGACTCATGTTGAAGACATTTGTGGAGGACTGTTTCCTATGTGAGGGAACCCATGCTGGAGCAGGGGAAGAACATGAGGAGTCTTCCCCCTGATGAGAAAGGAGCAGCAGAGAGACACAACATGTGATGAACTGACCACAACCCCTATTCCCCTGTGCCACTCAGGGCAAGGAGGTAGAGAAAGGGGAGTTCAAGTTAAGCCAGGGAAAAAAGAAGGGGTGGTGCAAAGGTGTTTTTAAGATTTGCTTTTATTTCTCATCACCCGTCTCTGATTTGATCAGTAATAAATTAATTTCTTAAAGTTGAATCTGTTTTGCCTGTGACGGTAACTGCTGAATGACTTCCCTGTCCTTACCTCGACCCAAGAGCCTTTCATGATATTTTCTCTCCCCTGTCCAGCTAAGGAGGGGAGTGATAGAGCCACTTCGATGGGCACCTGGTGTCCAGCCAGACTGAATCCACCACAGCATCACTAGATCATAACTGCACATAACTCCTGTTAGCTACCTGAACAATCTTTTGAAGTTGTGAAGAAATGCATTTACATATACAGCATTCATGTTTTCAAGTAAAAAGCTTTCAAAAGCAGCTCTTTAAATGAAAATATGACAAGACTTAAAGACTCCATTGGTCCAGAAGTCCAATTCAGTGATTTAGGCCACATATGTCCCCAAGTTTGAGATATTTCAGGTCTAGTGTTATTTGCATTTTAAAACTTCTATCTTTAAATAGCTGAATTAATACTTAATATTTTTCAAATACCTAATGTTGCAAATTCATGTAAATGAAAAACTAAATGAGTCTACTCTTCTCCCAAAGTTCACTGCTTCTGAAACAGCAGACAGGCTTTTGCCCTGTATTCTCTCACAGGTGTTTCCCTTGGCTTTATAGCAAGTAAAATCAGTAATAGCAGATAGAAATAGTAAAATCCATGAGGGAAGTTGCACAGGATATTCTCCTGTGGCACAGTACATCAGCTGTGGCACTTATGTCTGTGTCTGATTACTGGTAAACAGAATAGGACTAAAAGTAAAGTTTATTAAAAAATTAATACTATAACTGAATATTATTGTAAGCACTGCCAGATGTTTGGGGCTTTTCCCCCTCCACAACTAGCATTTCACACAAAGGTTGAATCAATAGGAGCCAGCCAAATCTCAAACCATATTCCCAAAGACATATCTCCCTAAAGAAATCAGACCCATTTTGTACAAATTCTGTCCTTATACAAAGTAAAAATACGGAAATGTTAGACACTACTCTTCAAGAAGTTACCTATGTTCATTTAAGTCAAATCGTGGGGTTTGCTCAATTCTATTCCATGCAAATTTATCTCTTGAAAAATTAACAAGTTAATTGTCCCGTTATTGAAGTTATATACCCAGCAATCGCTATCAGTGATGTTCTGTTATGTAGCCAAACACTTCAGTTTTGTACTGATAAATACATGAGGTTTGTCCATATGTAAAATAAAGTTGAAAGGGATTATATTTCCTGGATTTGACTTTACTGAAATGACTGCCAGAACGTCCCCAGTCTGTCACAAGACACATCTCAAAGCTATCCGTAGAGTTTAGTCTCTACGTTTCAGTTCTAATCCTTCTCTACCACCACTAGCTCTTATTTCACATTTTCAGCTCTAAGTCCCTATTACAAAATACAAATACCTAATGACAGCCAGAGGAACACCCTCTGCAGAATTCAAGAACCTACCATCCTATGGCTCCTGCAAACTACAGTTAGTACACTGAAGACTCAGACCAATACTGAAGGACAAAGATTGATATTATAACTATGACTCTTTGTTAGACAACAGCAGGTTATGAGTTTGTATCTAGAAGGGACTAATGTTACAGGTTTTCTCAATTTAGAATTACAACATGCATAAACTCAACCAGCACTTTAAGAAATTGTGATTTACCTGCTAAGTTCTCTTTCTCCTCATCTGAAAGCAACTGCTTCTTTTGCAAATGAAAGTTTTGTAGAGCAGTTTCCAGCATTTCTAGTGGAACAGCAGAACACTCCACAGCTTTCTGAAGGAGCTGCTTACACTTCTTCACATTTCCTAAGTAGTGAGGTACAGAGAGTTAGAAACCAAGGAAATAAACAATTACACTGACGCAACAAGGTACAAGTGAATCACGTAAGTCAATTTTTACATTAAGTTGAACACCAAGTCATAAAACATGCCCTATGAACTCACAAAAACGCATTTTCAGTATTTATTTAGCGTTACAGGAACTGAAAGGAAATACAATAGGTACTAAAATCCATTTTTCCTTTATTATCAGCAAGAAAACCTTTATGAACTTTCATTTAGATATGACCAGACACAAACTATTATGTACACATTATAAAACGTATTTAATGCAAATAACAGAAATCAAAGTTAAAAGCAGTTGTTATTAAATGAAGGATCACTAATCCAGACAACACTACATTTAAGAGTGAAGAGAAAGGATGTTGTTTCATTAGAGTTTTACACTACATTAAATGCCATCAACACATTGAAAAGAATATTGTGGGGGGAGGGTGGGAAAGGTGAAGCATTTTAACAAAAGATTAAAAAAAAAAAATCAAATTCTATATATAAGCATGTACACACACAGCTATTAAAAAAACCCAAAAACATACAGTCAAATATGGAAAGGAGGTGTACTGCAACCAAAAATCTTCTTGGTTTAGGGAGCATCAGGGCAAAATGATGCAATGTTTTGTTAGAGCTGTTAATGCCCTTGAAGTTCCCAATGCCCTTCTTCCTAGTTCCAAAGCAGCAAAACAGCTGGTTCTTATAGGTGACACATACATATATAAATATTTCTTATGTAAGTATTTCTTACAGTACCTAAGAGTGTATTTCAGAGTTCCATGTCTCCAGCACTTAAAATTCCACTAATAACGAAACGTAGATGTCACCGTCACCTACAGTTGAGACTTTGGGGGAACTTATGCTTAACTAACCTATTTTAACCTGAAGGTACACAAGTCCATGGGACC